ATTGATAGTACTAAGTATATATGGTGTAAAGACACCATATACGCCCTCAGGAAATTCGCTTTGATCTCTTGATTCTGAACAACATAGAAAAAATCGCAAGGTTCTAGCACAATTTTTATAATGTGGCCACTTTATCGGTCAATCCAGATTATCCGGTGAACCATGATATGGCCACCATATTCCAAAATATATATTCCAAGTTAAATACGCTACGATCTCTTGATTCTGAACAACATAGAAAAAATCGCAAGGTTCTAGGACATTTTTTATAATGTGGCCACTTTATCGGTCGTTCCGGATCCTCCTTTAGGCCAGTAGAGTTTTCCTGAGGGCGTATATGGTGTCTTTACATTATATATACTTAGTACTATCAATTTCCAGTAATATATGTTAAGTAAAGTCTAAAATTATGCCGATAGATAGTGGCATTTCCTACATTACCGGGAACTCGGGTTGATCCCGACCCTCTATCTCGGTACGCAAAAGTCTCCGGCCAATGAGATCACCACCAATCGATTCAGGAGAGTTTTTCCTTTGAGAATATGTTTAACATATTGACTGAAACCGTTTGGCAGCCATATTCAATTTATTCGCGGTTTTGTCACTTTTTGCCCAGTGTGCACTGGTTGTGTGGCTTGTTTAGTATATGATGGAACCGAGAGGGGCGTTACATCTAAATCTCTAGATGCTCGAAAAATCTGCGAATCAATCTTCGAACAATCTTCTTTCATTTCTCGCATCTACTTGCATCGCGCATCATCTTTTTGCAGGAAATATTCAGAATCGTCAGTGAAGATTTCGAAGAGTTTCTTATGTTCCCTAAACTTCCTTGTTGCTCTCAGTAGTTTTTCAAACTATTACGTAACCAACAATTTCCTGAACTTATTGGAACTGGCCCAAAGGTTTAAGAAATTTTAATTTTAGTGTTTTTGCAAATTTTCCTGATATGGTATGAGTTCATAGAACTGCTTGAAGCTGCGAAACTCCCTTTAAGATCTTTAAACTCAACTTGAGTTTTGGCAATTTCTGTTAGATTTCTACAACTTTCATGAAGCTATCGAAACTTATCTGAAAGATCTAAAAACTTGCCTGTAGTTCTGGTCGTTTTTGATGTTTTTTGGACTACCCTTAAGTTTTCGAAACTTCCCTAAAGTTTCCACAATTCCAAAGCTTCTGAAATTTTCTTGACGATAATAAAACTGCCGCGAAGTTCTCTGTTCTTCATCTTAGTTCACGATTTTTTTTTTCTGAAGTTTAATCAACTGTCCTGTACACGAAATGAAAATTAATTATTTTATTCATATGTTACATAGGGGAAATGCAGGTAATGTCGGACTAAGTGTCCCTAATTTGAGCCCATACATAAATTCAGCAATCGACTAAATTTTCAATAGCAACCAAGAATATCCATTAGTAACGTCCCAATAACGCGTTCATCTAGATAAAATTGATAAATAGCAGATTTTTAGCGATGGGCCCAATCTTAGATCCATAGGCCAACATTAGAGATATTTCCCCTACATACATGTTTGCCAAAACATCAGCCTTATCAATTCCATAATACAACCACATAGGTCATATAAGAATGCGTAAACGGTATGTGTGACCATTTATACATTTCATTTAACACATGATCTTTATTAACGTTTTGCAAGGCGTCTGTTGATTAGTTTACTCATACACTTTACGATTAATCAGCAATACAAATTTGCCAAAAGGTATAAGGGGATTTCTATACGTGCAGTTTCTGGAATTTACTCTTTAAGATCTCAAAGTTGATCTACACGGGCCATAGAGCAATAATTGATCGTTGCCGATGTGTCAAAATATGTGCGAAGCCAAGACATCAACCTCGGGAGCAACAAGTCAGTGTCAACATTTCAAAGGAGCGTAATTGCTTTTGTAAACAATGGCTTTAGCTGTCGATTTCTCGCAAATTAAAGCTCACCCCTCCAAATTAACAGTTCCAGCTGGTAGAGGATACATTCATCTACCTGTTGAAGTCAGTGATTTTCATGTGTGAGCTTTTATTCGCGAGAAATCGACGGTTAAAGCCATTGTTTACAAAAGCAATTACGCCCCTTTGAAATGTTGACACTGAAGTTACAAACATAAGCTAGTGTGCGATGCGGCGAGCTTAATCTTACACGGACACATTCAAACTATTCGTATGCATGAGTGAAAGCAGTTTAACCAATCCATACACATCCAACTGTCAAAGTTTCATTCCCATCATCAGCAGCAGCTAATTTCTGGAGCTACATACTAAAAGGCCTATCCACCACAAACCGGAGAAAAGTTCTGCAAGATATTGAAAATTCTACTGAATTAAGCGAAGTTTGGATATTTCAAAAATAGTCTCTCACTGAAGTTAGCGTAATTCTGGAAAAATACTGGAAACCTCAGTAAATTCTACTTATTCCAGGAAAGAACTACGAGCTTTATGAAATTGATCCTAATAAAACTGCGACTTCTCCGAGCTTGCTATAAACATACAAAAAATTCTGCGAACTCCACAAAAAATCTACAAACTTCAGGAAATTTCTGAGATCAACATGAGGGTTAGTAAATTTCAGAGAACTTTTGTGAACTTTAGGAAAACTCTGCGAGCTTCGGAAAGTTTAGCGAAGTTAAGAAATTTTTATCATAAATGATGGTGACGACTGGGACTTGAGAGGAATTGTTTAATTTCACGGCTTTCTCAGAATTAAACACTTTAATGACTACGATGTAATCTGCTCGACGTTTTGGCAATGGGTTGAAGCCTTTATCAAGGGAAAATATGCATTGAACATAGTTAATTAGTTGTTTTACACTGTTGTTGTTTGATTGCCTTTCATTGTCTGTCGATATCGTTCAACAATTTAGTCGTTCTTGTGGTCGATTAAACATGGGTGATCAGGCATGAAAAATCATTTACATTCATTTGACTCTAACTTTTTTTATTAACAGAATTCTGTAAAATAAAATATTAAACTTCTGTAGGTTTTGCAATCAGCTGTAACTTTTGTGAAAAACACAAATCTGTATCTCTTATGCATGATGAACCAGAGCAAACTGAACGCACTATTATTTTTCAATGAATGTAAATTACATTCACTGAAAAACAATAACATTTTCTGTTCACTCTAGTTCATCATGCAAAAGAGATACAGATGTGAATTATTCACCAGCTGTAGCTTATATAAAAATCTGCAAAAGCTTCATATATAATTTTACGGAATTCTGTTGATGAAAAAAGTTAGAGGCAAATGACTATAACAGAATGCACCGTCACCGTGCCAAAATCGAACGGAACATGAAAATAATGTATCATGCTGCCTGTGATTCCATTTTTTCATAAAAGATTTATTATTAATAATGTATGTGCCGCAAAAAATGACTCACGGTGGTCCAAAATCAATGAAATCATATATTAAATTTCAAAATAAAACCATTCGATTTTGGCAACACTTCCTTTTTGGGCTTGTTGCCAAAATCGAACGGGTACAGTAATTTTAACTTCAATTTAATTATATTTAAGTGAAGGACATCTTGCTATGGTCTATGAACTTCAGAAAAAATAACGATATTCAAGAAAGTCTGCAGAATTCTGAAAATGCATTCAAAATGTAAGGAACACTGCAAACGCTAAAATCTGCCAATTTTTAATTGAAAAAATCTGTGAGTTCCCTATAGTTCAGTGCACAACTACGAGAAGTTCTAAAAGCCATAATACAATTTTTCAAACTTCTAGAATATTCTGCAAACTTCAATAAAGACTGTCAGCTCACTTTTGGAAAAATTCTGCGAGCTCAGCTGTAAGCCCTTCAGGAAATTTTTGTGAAATTAGGAAAAAATCAGAGATCTACATGAAAGTTCATCGAACTTCAAGAAAGATTTAAAAATTCTAAAAAAAAAAATCTAGTAGCTTCAGGGAAGTTCAGTTAACTTCAGGAAACTTCAGAAAAATTCTGAGAACTTCCGAAAAATTTTAACGATTTTTTGGAATGTAACAGAAACATTTCAAAAACTCTTCTGCGAATTTCAAGAAAGTTCAGCAAATTTTTGGATAGCTTTGGAATTTCATGAAAATTCTGCAAATTTGAGGAGAGATCAGGGAACTTCAGAAAAGTCTGGTAACTTCAAGTAGGACTACGAAATTCAGAAAAAATTGACTTAGTTCAAGAAAGTCTGCCATTTTTTTTTTAATATTCTGCCAACTTCAGCAAAGGCGGTGAACTTCGTGAAAACTCTGAGAACTTCAGTCAAGCCTGCTTACACCAATAAATTTGTGCAAACTTAAGAAAATCTCTGCAAGTAATAGGGAAGCATACGGACTTTAAAAAAATGAATCAGATAAACATATGGTCTTGATATGCAGCCATTCCAAACGATATAGTAGTTTTCAGAACTTTGTAAAAAATGATAGTTTCTAAAAAATATTTCTAATTACCTTGCATTTGATATATTGATCAGTGGTTCAAAAGTTATGATTTTTTGAAACAAGTCAGTTTTGAAAAACGTCATTTTTCAAAATCACCGATTTTTTGGACAACCATAACATGGAAATGGTCACCCTAATGACAAAATAAAAAATATGGGTCTAATATTTTGCGATAAGGAACAAAACTGCCAATTATGACGAAATTCTGAGAACCACTATATCGTTTTGCTATGATTTTTTTTTTAAATAATTCCTGATCATCGTTGTATCTTGGGTGAAAATCAGAGAGACGACAGTTGAAGATCTTCAAAATAACACCTGAAAACTTGAAAAAAAAATCCTGAGGATTTCAGAGAAATAATTTCTGATCACACTTGTATCATGGGTGAGTATCTGAGAGACGCTATTATCTTCCTGGCCAGTTGAAGATCTTCAGAATTAAACCTAATCAACCTAAAGACTTGATAAAATCTTCCTAGAACTCTAGAAAAGTTCTATCCACATCCTAAGGAAAGTTTTCCAGGATTTATAGAAAAGTTTTCCCAGAGCTCCAGATAAATTCTAGACATTTCCGGTAACTTGTGTTGTTTGATGAACACATTTTCATCGTTCCGCGGATAATTTCCAAAATGGCCACCAAAACGATCGCTTCAAAGGACAAGTCCAAAAATATTATGCGCGATCTGCGTATCCGCAAGCTCTGTCTGAACATTTGCGTCGTTGAATCTGGTGATAGGCTGACCCGTGCCGCCAAGGTGTTGGAGCAGCTGACCGGTCAGACCCCAGTTTACTCGAAGGCTCGTTATACCGTCCGTTCCTTCGGTATTCGCCGTAATGAAAAGAACGCTGGCACTGTCCGTGGTGCCAAGGCCGAGGAAATCCTTGAACGTGGTCTGAAGGTGCGTGAATATGAGTTGAGACGCGACAATTTCTCCCAGACCGGCAACTTCGGTTTCGGTATCCAAGAACATATCGATCTGGGCATCAAGTACGATCCATCGATCGGTATCTACGGTCTGGATTTAAATAAATAAATAAGTCTTCCCAGAATATCAAGAATAACTTTAGGGATGTTCTTCCCAGAATATCAAGGAAGTTCTTCCCAAAACTTCAGGAAAGCTCTTGCTAAAACTTCAAAGAAGTTCTTCCAAAAACTCAGAACATCAGAAAAGTTCTTCCCAGAACTCCAGGGAAGTTTTATGCAGAACTTCAGAGATGTTCTTCTCAAAACATGAGAGAAGTTCTACCCAGAATTCGAGAGAAGTTCTTCCGAGAACTTAAGAAAAGTTCTTCTCAGAACTTTGGAACAGCTCATTTCAGAGCTCCAGGGAAGTTATTCCCAGAACTTCAGTAAAGTTCGTCCAAAAACTTCAGGGACGTTTTTCCATGCTCGTTCAAAAACTATAGGAAAATTCTTCCATGAACTTTAGGGAGGATTTTTCCAGAACTTAAGAAAAATTCTTCCCATTTCTTCAGGGAAGTTCGTCCCAGAGCTTTAGGAAAATTATACCCAAATTATGTTGGGAAGTATTTTTAAAAACTTCATGGAACTTCTTCCCAGAAGCTCTTCCCCAAGGAATGTTCTTGTCAGTACTTTAGGAAAGTTCTTCCCAGAACCTCAGAACCTACGTCTTACAATTCTTCCTAGAACTTGAGAAGAAATTTTTCAGAGAACTTTAAAGAAATTCTTCAGAGAACTTTAAGGAAATTCTTCCTAGAACTTTAGGAAATTTTTCCCACGACTTCAGAGATGGTATTTCCAGAACTTTAGGGTAATTCTTTCCAGAAATTAAGAGAAGCTCATCCCAGAACTTGAGGAAAGTTCATCCCAGAACTTGAGGGAAGTTCTTCGCAAAACTTGAGGGAAGTTGTTCTCAAAACTTTAGGGAAGTTCTTCTCAGAACTTCAAAAACCCAATCAGCACAAATCTGCGGAAGGATAAGTCACATACAAGTTGCCTGAACCGTTTTGCACCAAGTGTGCTGCCAGGGAAACTTTTTCGCAGAATTTCAGAAAAGTTCCTCACAAAGCTTCAAAAAAATTCTTTCCAAAACTTCTTCCCAGAACTTGAGGAGAGTTCTCCCAGAACATGAGAGAATTTCTTCCCAGAACTTGAGGGAAGTTCATCTCAGAACTTCAGGGAACTTCTTCCCAAAACGTCAGAGTAGACATTTTTTGAAGTTCTGGCAAATTCATCCACATCCATGATCTATCGAAAAGTTCTTCTCAGAACGTTAGGAAACTTCCAAGAATTTTAGAAAAAAATCTAAATCATCAAAAATCTCCGTCATTTTAGAAAAAAATCTCAAGCTTCATTGAAGCTACAGTGACTTAAAAAGTGTTTCAAGAATTGTTCCCACAAATTCGGAAAACTTCGATGGAGTTCCCAGAACCTCAACGATCTCGTCACAACTTCTTTGGCATGTAAATATCATTTTAAAACTTGAAAATTTCTTCAAAATTTATAGAATTTTTGTAAAACTTTTTGGAACTTTTTTGAACTTTCAAATTGCTAAGCATCAAAACTTTTTGGAGCATGAAGTTCCGCGTGTACTTTATTAAATTTCTAAAGCAAACAGAAAGTTCTGTTGGAACTTTATGGAGCCTGAAAGTAGATTTTAACGTAAAATGCGAAACTTGTGGTTGCTTGGGAAGGTAGCAATATAGGGTGCATGATCAATACAGCATAGGGTGCATGATCAATACAGCATAGGGTACATGATCAATACAGCAATATTTAACGTATTCCCGACGAAACATGTACCTGCCTATTTTACCCTGCTTGCGCATTGTAGACCCACCTCCACTTTATTTATGAGTGTGTAAAAGAAACACACATTATTGTCGTCATTAAGGACAATATTGATGAAATCTTTCCACATCGCAATTTCAGAAGCACTAATCTCAACATTCAGAAGTCGTTTAAAAGCACGAAGTAGGTTGCCAGATATGGGCCCGAGAAAATGCGAAGTAGGGAAATAAACTATATGAAAAAAGGATTCTGTCAATCGTTTCCTTAAGACATTCTTATATCAGAGCATTCTTGTCGGAATTTAAATTAGTAAGTTCAAGTAAATCATCACTGGTGGTTAAATTTTCACTCTCATTGCACTCAAAACAATATGCTCAAACAATAATTCTTCCGCCAATCCACTGATGATATTTCCTTGCATTGCATCTATGGACCTGTGTTAAAACGTGCCTTATCGCGATATACACGATTAGATTAATTAAAACATCAAAAACACAGATCAATCGAACGAGCTCGCCAAGCTGTGGCGGAATGAACGGTGGTGCTATGCTGAACGCATACAAGGAAGCACATAAGCCTACTGAAAAGTGATTGAAATTTGCTGGCAGCGTTTCCGAGTTAATTGATGTGCGTCCATCCAGTTGTGTTTGACTTGGCACAGTTCTACTGGCATTTTTTCGTTCTTCCCCATTGACGGTTAGTTTTGCAATTTGGATAATGCGCCCGTGGCGGTTCATTAAAAAGTTGAATCGAGTAAATATCACTCGCTGGCTTGGCTACAGCATTACGTGGACCTGTGGAGGTGCGAGAACGAACATTTTGCAACACTGTTTTTGCGAGGTGGTCGTTTGCATATACAGTAGTATATACAGTTGAACAGAGTTCTGCAGTTGCTTTCGGATGCGAAAGAGGATATCGATTCAATCGCGTTATGAAATTTGCGGTAATATTATCACGTTTCGATTTTGCTTGGGGAATTTCTGAAGTGCCGTCAATGGTGTGCGACGAGATCACAGAGCAAATAATGTGAAACTGATGGAATTTTCAGTGCACTTTGATGGTTAATAAAATTGTGAAATCGTATTGGACAAAGTTGGCAATCCTGCAGAGCATCCACGAAAGGTGAATTCGTTCTCGATCGGATCTGTGTTTTCAAATCCGTTTGCGATTTAGTGTCAGCTTTTCCAGTATTAACTGTAATTTCATTTGGGTGTCAGAAGACATGTTTTCTATATCCTGCAATGATGGAGCCTCAAAGCTGATCCGAGTGATGCGCCGTATTCTTATTGTACCATGTCAATATGTTGAGAGGGATTGAAACGGATTTATTGCTTTTGATAGGGCCTTTTTAAATGTAAGATTAACCTGTTTTTTTCTTCGCCTGTTTGACACTTTTGCCACAGGCATCCGAATATCGATTCGTTGAATTTAATTTGAGCGTTTGCAGTTAAAACTTTTGTGGTATTTAATAATGGAGTTCACCCAATAGCTTAATCCAATTTATTCTAGGTAAATGTAGCCAGTCATGTATTATGTACTTAACTACACATTATTAATTGACATTATACACTTTATTTTTAAGCTGCGGCTGAAGAACTGGATGAGGAAGAAGTTGGGCTGCTATTATGCCAGTTCCGCGTTACGAGGCGGTATCCCATCGCAGTTTCTGATCTCAAAGCTTCAACGTTTCCTTTTGCAAGATTCGTTCCTCAAAGCCAATTAAAACTTTTTTTCGATCCACGATGATCAGTGGCTTTGGCTTTATCTTGGACCATGACCAACAATGAGTCACCTTATAATTTGACTTGAATGTGTCCTGTGAACCGCTGGATCTTGTTGTTAACTAAACCAATTGAAAGCGTTATTAAGCTGCCTATAAATGCCCCCCCCCCTCTCGTGTAATGCGGAAAAATGTAAGTGTACTCTTCCGCTGGAAATGAACCTCCGGAAGCACATGGTTTAGCGTAATGGCCCTTTTGGAAATTACGGGCTTCTCGTCGGAACTGCGATGCTGAAATGCTCGTGCCGCTCTTCCAGATTCTGATGCGTCTTATCACAGATGTCGTTTAATAAAATGTTTTCCATTTAACGTTCAATCTTTTAAATTTATCGAACCTCTTAACGGAATCCCTTTATGAAGAGCTTTGAGTATGTTGGTTTATTTCCTTTTAATTCCGTTATAATTGCTTATATTTTGAGAGATACGCGTATTTCGTCTGCTACTTGCAGACTTCAACAGTGTCAAGTACTCAACAATACTGAAGAAACCATCTTTTATCTACGAGTTATATACTAATCAATAGGTACTAAAAATCAGCATGTATCCTCTGCCATGTCACAATTTACCTAAACATGTACCTAAGTTTAGTCTCCAACATGTAGAGGCATGCTACGATATGTGGTTTTCGGTAGCATTCTAAAGAGTCTCGAGTATCCGTTTCCTTGATCTCTATTAAGCAATGTTGATGGATTATGTTTAAATATTTCTAAACTTTCTGCTACGTCTAGTTTCCAAGGCGAAGATCCACTCCGCAGGATATTAATGTTATCTTTTGTCAAATTGTGCCCCTTTGTAAAGATATGTTCTGCAACCTTGGATTTAAATTCATAATGAAGTCCTTTATCCATCTCTTTGTTAGCCTTTTTTACCTCTGCGATGTGTTCCTTAAACCTTGTTTCCAAAGTCCTTTTCGTCTGACCAATGTAAATTTTATTGCAAGAGATTTTGTAGACTCCGGCTTTCCCTATGACATTTATTGAATCTTTTGTTGATCCTAACAGTGACTTCAGCTGATTTGTCCTGCTGCTGAATACTAAATCTAGGCTAAAAATTCTAAACTTCTAAATCAATGGTTTGGTAATGTTTTTGTCGAAATTCACTGCTAACCGTTATAAACCCTCAGTTACTGGTGTAAGAGTTGTTGAAGTACGCCTTAAATGATCCCTTGTTCTTTTATCGATAACTGCTTGAATTTTTTTCTTGATACCAGGGTTGCTTTCACTCACTTGCTGTAAAAACATATTTTTCTGAATTATGCAATCATTAGATAATATAATGATATGTTGGATCTTTGTTTTGTAAGCGCCCAGGACATGGCTCCTTTCTTATGCGAGGCACCCACTCCTCTGGTGAGACTGGATCGTCACCACCCGTCGCTACTGGTGACGTTAAGTACTAAGCTGATGCATGATTTTAATATTTCACCTGCCACCGTTTCCTACGATTTTCGCAACGCCGACCATGGTAGTATCGCCGAGCTACTCTCCAATTTAGATTGGGAC